TCAGACTAACTTTAGAAAGACAACTAATAAAATAAAAAAATTTGGCGTCGACAACCTCGGCGATGCAGTTGCTCACGGGAGCGCGCACTGGGGTCGCATCGGGAGCAAGCACGTCGGGCGCACACGTCAGGCCTCACGCGCGTTCCCAAGCTGCCAACGCGACGGCGGCAGCACACCATGGTGTGGAGGCGTGTGGCCACCAGGGACGCGGGCCATGCGGCTGCCAGGGCACCTGGGCTCGCCGCTCGCAACCGCCGGGACGCCTGAGCGCCACTACAGGGTGGCTCGACGGAGCCGCGCGTGCAGCCACCAGGGACGCGGGCCACGCGGCTGCCGGGGCTCCTGGGCTCGCTTCTCGCGACTGTCGGGACGCATGAGCGCCACGGCAGGGCGGCTCGACGGAGCTGCGCACGGTCACCGTTGCACGCGAGCTCCGGCGAGCGGCCTGGCGGCGATACGGGTCAGCCTGCCGTGCGCGCTCCCGTCGGTGGCACCCCTCAGCTCGGCTCCGCGCGTTCCAACACCGGCGCCACCTGCTCGTCCGCCATGCTCTCTTAGCTGCGCGACGCGAGAAGGACGGAGGAAGAAGAGAAAGTGAAGCTAGGTTTTTTTTTGGACTGCGGCGGATTGGTTTTGTTCCTGAGGACGTCGGATTGGCATCAAGCTGGTAGCTAAGTGGGCCTGTGGGGCATCGCAGACCAGCGTGCTTGCGCGGCCTAGTAAAGAAAAGATTTTTTTTAGAGACGGTTAAAATCAGTTTGTAGAGACGGTTTTAAAAACCGCTAAGGCTAAAAGTCGATTTTCAGTTAAAGCCCACGCGGGCGTTCAGCAGGCCAAAAGGCCAAATAAACCGTTTTCTGTCCGCGTTCTTTTTCTGGTTTCCGTCTCATTTTCATCTCTCGTATTTTTTTTGTCCAGTTCGGAGATGTTCCGTAGTCCATATGTCTGCCCCTGCTGCAGGACTGTGGCGTCCCGTGCCACTCTTTTCGTGATTTTTTTTTGTTTTTAAATGTAACTCTATTTTTTCTTATAAAGATAAAAAATAAATAGTAAACATAGTATTACGGGTCTTCGAAACTTGGACCATTGCCTGATAAATAAATATAAATATTTCTATCCTTAAGTTGTCGACGTAATTTTATTAGAAAAAAATTATTATTATTACATAAATCAATTGATGGCCTAACTAATCAAACTATAAACTGAAATCTTGATCCGTTTGTCATCAAATCTAATCAAATTAAATGTTTCTCCAAGTTATCCGCATATACCGGTGCAAATCTCTAAGTTGTTCATATATACCGGTACAAATCTCAACACGGGCTAACATGTGGAAATCGAGAGAGATCTCGGTCATACCTTGTACTCATCAATAAAGAGACCAATTATTGACAGGATGACGACTAACCCTTGCCGACTTTAATAAGATATTAAAATTAGATATTCTTGTGGATCCTCAAAAGAAGTCACAGAACTTGATATCTAACTCTATCAACACATGAATAGTACCGTTGTAGCTGCGCAGCAAGCTGAAACGAACAAGTCAGAACGTTTGATAGCTTTTTTTCTCTCCCTCGTTCCAACGCACGTTAATTAGTCATAATCAAGCACGTGGTCACCAGTTGCGAGCATAGTATGGGATTTATCAATACCTGATCCTATTTCTTCTACGGCGGTGGTAATGGTATAATTTATTCGCAAAGCTCAAGCAAGACAATCGGCAAAGATCAAGCACAATGACTCAATGAGGTTGGCTCTTAATTTTAGTGTTTCCAGCATGCAGACCTGAAATTAAAAAATGGATGCTCCTTGAGAACATCAGTGGTGCCAAATAAAAGATGTGCAGGTTATACATGGTAAGACTGGTCAACCTTCTGTAATTTTCTAAACGAATATTCCTACCATTAGTATATAGATCCATTCCCCTGCGTTTCTTCGTGCTTCCATTAGCATATAATATGAAAGTATTGTTGTGTTCATCACGACTTCCAGTTGATTACTCCCATTAGCATATACTTCCTCTACCCCAAAATATAAGTCATTATAGGATGCGTGCAGGTCAAATTTTCTTAACTTTGACTAGGTTTGTAAAAAATACGGGCAATATTTATATCTCCAAATAAGTTTATTATGAAAATATATTCAATGTTCTATGTAATGATACTAATTATGTATTATAAATATTAATATTTTTTTATATATAATTGGTCGAAGTTAAAAAAAAAGTTAATTTATCGGGAAGCGAGAATGAATTCTATTTTGGGACAGAGGGAGTATATGAAAGAGTGTTGAAAATATTTTAACAATCAAGTTCGTCTCTGTCTGATTGGTAAGCTTAGACATTATAATGGCATAAAAAATTTCGACTCTCATGGACACCCTCATGGATCAGTGCAAAGCATCCCAATCCTACAGCATACACAAATAGCAACCTTAAAGTTATGATATTTTCAAAGGGTGGACAATAAAGACCATCTTAGACGTTCTGGCATTAGAGTATATACGTGCAGACACAGGCATGGTGGTGCAAGTGAGCAGCCAACAGGAGTCGAGAGTCAGGAGGTGTTTGGATCCCAGGACTAAACTTTAGCCCCTGTCACATTGAATTTTTAGATATCAATTAGGAGGACTAAACATGAGCTAATTATAAAACTAATTACACAAGTTGTGGCTAATTCGCTTGTCAGCGCCGTGTACAGGATGGTATGGAGATGTTGTAGAACTTATTCGTGGATTTGTTGGCGCACGAAAGAAATGGATATCGGAAATCTCTTCCTGTCGGTATAAAAAATGATCTTAGCCGCATCATGGAAATATCTACACAGCAGAGTTTGTGAGCCTACGATGCCACGCTCCCTGTGATTGTGTAAATTTCACGAACTTAGCTTTTTGGATTAAATGTCACTTTAACGTCGGTCATATACTTTTACAGTTTTGTTATCTTATCGTGCGATCCGTGTGTTTTTAGTACAAAAGTTTAGCAGTCCCGTAGCAACGCACGGGCACGAACCTATTTGCATATATACTCGAACCTGTGTGTACATGATTATATGGAGATGCAGTGGAACTTATTTATGGATTTATTGGCGCATGAAAGAAATGGATATCGTAGAATTCTTTTTGCCGATATAAAATATTATATTAGCCGTATCACGAAAAAGTCTATACAGTAGAGTTTGTGAGCCTGCGACGTCGCGCTCTCTGTGACTGTGTTAATTTCACGAACTTTGCTTTTTGAGTTAAATGTCACTTTGACGTCGGTATTTAATCTAACAGTATTATTATCTTATCGTGCGATCCGTGTGTTTTTAGTATAAAAAATTTAGTTGTCCCGTAGCAACGTACGGACACGCTACCTAGTAAGATATTAAAATTAGATATTCTTGTGGATCCTCAAAAGAAGTCACGGAACTTGATATCTAACCCTATCAACACATGAATAGTACACATGAATATCCCATACTGCGCAGCAAGCTGAAACGAACAAGTCAGAACGTTTGATAGCTTTATTCTCTCTCGTTGCAACGCACATTAATTAGTCATAATCAAGCACGTGGTCACCAGTTGCGAGCATAGTATGGGATTTATCAATACCTGATCCTATTTCTTCTACGCCGGTGGTGCATGCTTCATTAGATCTGTTGTGGATTATTACAGAATCGGCACATGCCCAGCACCGTCCCAACTCCCAGCCCTGTACAGCGCCAGCCACTTGGCCTCCTGCAACCGGCCCTGATAGTGAGAGACCCTGCTTAGCCGGCCGGGCCTAGGTGCCTGTGGCCAGTGTGGCCCGGGCGAACGGGGCAGCCACGGGAAAAAAATTCCCTTCAGCGCGTTTGTAGACCGCATCTGCTAGATACGGTTGCATCAGCGTCGCACGCTTGGACACCAATGTCTTTGTACACCATAAAAAATCATCGATGCACTTTCAGTACTCATGCAGCTCCTTCCCCCCACTGCGCTCACCATCTTAGCCTGTCCTCTTGGCCGAAAAATTTTGACAGCATCGTTGACATCGACAAAGCGAAAACAAAACATGTCCATTCCAACTACCATAGCTTAAATTTGAATGAATTGACATAAGGAGTAACATGTTTTGGCTGCTCTGATTATGCATATTGGCTATGGATGTCCTACGTGCTATGTGCAACTGGTTCATCAATTCATCGATAGACAAGCATGAAAAGCTCAAGATCAGTGTAGCTGACATCATTTCACCTTCTTTTGCGAGAAGTTAGTCACAAGAGAAAACAAACGTGGTCATGGCATGGTCGATAGAGTGGCATGGTAGCAGGTCTCAGACTAACAGCTCATTGCCATTAGCGATGATTCCATGGTTTTGGTAGCCTTAAGGCGCCTGTGGATGTTGGTACGACATCAGGCCATCCAACGCATGCATGCTTGAGCCAGAAAATGGCACCAACAGAATTGAGTGGCCCCGTTCGCTTGGCTGAAATTGGCTGAAAAAACAAGCCAAAGCTGAATTGTTGTGAGAGAAAAACACTGTTCCAGTTGAAAAAAGAAGTCGAACAGGCCGGCTTTTAAGGTAAGCCGAATGGGGCCTTAACACCACGATATTTTATAGCAAAAAGGAAACTACAGATCTCTCCAAGATTCAAAACATTAAATTTTAAAAGAGAGCTAAGGAACTTGGATAGTTATTTCTCGAGGAATGAAGTTCAACAAGTGATAATTCAAGACTTCCCTGATTATACTCAGTAGAAATAACTATATAGCCACAAGATAGGAGTGCGGAAAAAAGGAATAGAAGAGAGAGACAACGATAACTTAATTTAACCCAAGAAATTATTTGACGATAACTATATAAAGTTTATGCCAATAAATGCGGTGGGTCAAGAACAATTTCAAGTAACAAATAATAATACTTGCAAAGTATTTTAAAGGAATATGATGAAGTACTTATTACATTCAAAAGCAGTGTGCCAAAGATCTCCGGGCATTGTCAATTTGTTGTCTATGCAGTCGCGAATGATCTGAGGTCATTTGGGCAGGACAGTTGTGATTGTCATGCTGGATTGAGTGGTGCTGCTGTTAACGCCAGTGACAGTGGTAGATGTATAGTAGAAGGCATCAGGTGGTGGCTCATAGGTTGCCACCGGCATCCTCGCCTGCAGATTGGGCAGTGGCATCTCAGACCGCAGCACGCTGACGGCCTGCCGGATGGACGGTCGGAGGCTCCGGTCAGGGTGCGCGCACCAGAGGCCGACGACCATCACGGTCTCCATCTCCCGGGCATCCAACTCACCCTTGAACCGTGCGTCGGCGGCGTCGAGGATGGCTCCTCTGCTGTGGTACTCCCACACCCACTGCACGATGTGGATCACGTCTTCTTCGCCGTGGCGACGCACCAGGGGCCGTTGGCCGCAGGCGATCTCTAGGAGGACGACGCCGAAGCTGTAGACGTCCGACTCGGCGTTGGCCCTACCGGTGATCATGCACTCCGGGTCCATGTACCCCATGGTCCCGGCGAGTACCGTGGTGTGCGAGCCCCGGCCGTGGTCGACCAGCCTGGCGAGGCCGAAGTCGCCGAGCTTGGCGTGGAAGGACGCGTCCAGCATGAGGTTGCTCGGCTTGATGTCCCTGTGCACCACGCACTGCTCCCACTCCTCGTGCAGGTAGAGCAGAGCCGACCCCAGTCCCAGCACGATCTCGTGCCGGAGCGGCCATGGCAGCAGCGTGTCCGTGTCGTCGCTGGCGGTGTAAAGGTGCTTGTCGAGGCTGCCGTTGGGCATCAGCTCGTAGACGAGGAGGAGATCGCTGCCACCATGGCACCAGCCGATCAGCTGTACTAGGTTGCGGTGCCTGAGCCGGCTGATGATCCTCACCTCCGAGGCGTACTCTTTCCTCCCCTGTTTGGAGCCCTTGGACAGCCTCTTGATGGCGACGTGGAGACCCATCTCCTTGAGGAATCCCCTGTACACTGATCCGAACCCCCCTTCCCCCAGCTTCTGTGTGTCTGAGAAGTTGTCCGTGGCAATGACGAGCTCGCCGTAGCGAAACCGCTTTGGCCCGGTCCCTCTCTCGAAGTCGTCTTCCATTTCCATCTCCGAATCCTCGTCGAAGAACCCTCCTTCTCCCAGCTCTTGCTCCCTCGCTTCCTCAAGGATTCTAGCCTGCCTCCTCCGTCGCCGGCGAAGGAGCCATATGGAGAAGATGGCCAGGATGATCATGATCGAGACGGAGCCGACAGACACGCCAATCACGATCCCTGTCTTTGATGGTTCTGTGGAGGGATGCAAAAGACCGCGTCAACGTTGTTGCCCTGCATCAGTCGATGACGATAAACGGATAAAGGAAGCCGCAGCAGGAGGATGTGTACCTAGAGTTGGCGGCGAAGACGTAGGTGGCGCCGGCGCCGGCGCCGGCGCCGGCGGCAGAGTGATGTCTATCGGGAACGACACCTGGTAGCTCAGGTAGCAGCTGTAGCCCTTGATGGAGCATCCCGTGTGACTGGGAAACAGCTTCCCCAGCCTGACGGCGTAGATCCTGATGCAGGTCGAGCACTCGCTGCCGTTGAGGTCCCTGGTGCACTGTGCCAGCCCGTACATCTCCATCTCCTGCGAGCCCGTGCTCGAGTACGCCACGCTGCGTCTGAAACTCCGCGACGAATCAAAGGCGATGCCGCTTGAGAGGGCGATCATCAGCGGCACCCAGGCGTCCAGCACAGCTTCTGAGGTCAAAGGCATGCCGATGGTGGTCAGCGGCTCGGCGAATACGTAGCCGAGGTCCGCGGTGGCGGGGATCGGCGCGGCCGAGTACCGGAGGACGCACGCGTCGTACGCCGCGCTCACGTTCCGGCTGCCCGGGCACGCCGTCGTGATCCCGGATGACGCCGTGGAGATACAGTAGAGGCAATCGGACGCGTCGTGGTCCGCGAAGCACATGATGAGGCCGAACACCGCGTCGGGCCCCGACCCGGCGCTGCCTTTGTAGAACCAGCCGTTGTCGCCGGCCGCCGTGGGGAGCGCGGCCAGGAACTGGTCCAGGTTCTTCTTGTACTGGCTGCCGTCGGTGTAGTTGTCCGACGTCGAGCAGGACAGATTAAACGGCTTCGAGATATTGTTGCCCTCCTGCCCTGCGGCTGCGACGAAGAGAAGGGCCAAGGTGGCGAGGAGGAGGAGAAGACGGGAAGCCATAGCCGGCCGGCAGCTCTCAGCTGCCCTGGGACGCCGTTGCTTGCTGGTTTTGGACATGGACACCCTGTGTCCTCCTCTGCGTTGCGTTGCTCTCTTTCTGACACCGTCAGCTGCGACTGATGAGGATTTGTAGTGGATCAGGTCGGTTTGAGCTATTCATTCAATTATTCTTCGTTCTTTGCACGATGTAGGATCAGGACCCGGCGACCGGCGTCATGTGTTGTGTCCTGGCCGGTGTGCACATGCAGAAACCAAACTGTCATGTCATAATAAAGAAGCTCGAAGTTCAGAGAGTCACCCTTCCATAGTAGTCACTAGTCGGCGTTATGTAAGAAATGACATTTTACCAATTTCTTGCCGATTTCAGGAGTGATTTTTAATTGAGAAAATTTCCCCCTTATGTATGAGGAAGTTCAGCAGGATTCTTTCATAGTGGTCACAAGTTTCGTAGGTTAGGAGTACTGATTTTCTGCGTTGAATGGATATCTCTTAGCTCTTCCCCTCAAATTAAAAGATATCTCTTAGCTTCTGAAGTAGCTGATTGATAAGCTCACAAGGGTGGTCACAAGTTCCATTTGGATCTTTGGCAGTTGCCGGCCTGCTTTTGGCTTGGGTCCAGTCTATTATCAAACCTATTGTTGGTTCCTGTCAAAGTTCAGGCAGATGCACGGTGGATTTGCGCCAGCGCAAGCCTGCTCTCGTAAATCGTAATTGTGGAAAGGAGAGAAGACGATTCAAGGGCAGATGTCATGCTATGGACGATACTGTTGGAATCACTCCCTCTGGTTTGTTGTTGGAACTTGGAACCACTCCCTCTCACTTGTGGTGTTTATCACAAACACTTACACACTCACGTTACGGTGGACACAAAGCACACACATACAGAAAACGGTACAAGCTAACAAGCTTTAGTTTTACGTAAGCCACACAACTCCCATCGTTTTCCATTCATATATATAGACTCAAGTACATGCAAGAAACAGGCCGCTGGCCAAATCACTCAGCCAAGACTCACGCCACATCTCGCAACGTGCAAATGTGCAAGCACCAAGCAGCATGCAAGCCATGGCCTCCTCGCCGGCCACGAATAGTCTGAGCTAAAAATTAATTGAAAAATAAAGAGTCTATATAAATTATAAATAGCTAACTTCAAATTTAAATTACAAAAATAGTAGGTACATTCAAAATTTAAATTACAAACAATAGTAGCATCATTTTCATACGTTGAAGAAAAACCTAAAGATTTTTTTGTGTAATACTATACTGTAAGTAAAGTTTTTTTTTGCCGTCAACTCTAGCGCAGTTGGCGCGGCAGGGGGGATTACAGATCCGCTGCGCGGCCCTCTCTCTCTCTCTCTCTCTCTCTCTCTCTCTCTCTCTCTCCTCTCTTCCTTTCCTCCTCTGTCTGCGCCGGCCCGAGCATTCGCCGCCGTCGTCCCTCTCCGCCTCGGCCATCTTGATCGCTCTTCCTCCCTCCGTGACTCTCCTCGGCCTCCCTCTCTCACTCCGCCGCCGGCCGCCAGGGGCCAGCGGCGGCCCTCTCCGCTGGCCGTGCTAGGTGTGGGTGAACCACCGAGGTTCCCTGCTTCATAGGACAGGTAATCCGCTCTCGATTTCTTGTCGCAATGTTGATTTCAACCTCGATTTCATGGTAGTTAGGATTTGTATAGTTAGATTCGTATAGTTAGGGTTGAATGGTAGTTAGATTAGTATAGTTAGTTTAGTATAGTTAGTTAGATTAGTATAGTTAGATAAGTATTTGTAATATTTGTTAGTATACTTATTTGGTATAGTTAGCGTAGTTAGTTAGTATAGATAGTTTAGTATGTATCAGCTATATATAGTTAGGTTAGGTTAGAGGTTAGATATTTAGGTTAGGTTAGATTGTATTAATATTTTGTTAGGTTACTATGTATAGGTTATATGTACTTAGTCGCCCCTGTTTTATTCGCCAGAACCATTTCATAGACTTGATGAAGTTTGTTCAAATGCTTTGGTAGATGGATTGTTTAGCCTGTTTGTTTTATGAAGTGTTAGAAAAGAAGATATGGTGTTTGAGGATATTGAAGATGAATTGGAAATGTCTGATGTGCCTCCTAGCTTCAGTGACCTTTTCTTGTGTGTTAAGGAAAAGTTTGATGGTGCTTTCACATAGAGGGGGGAGGTTGATAGTGGGAAGACTAGGGAACACTTCGTCTTAATGCCCTTGCCCAACGAGGGTCATTGGTCGCGCAAAAAAAAGTATAATCGAAGGGTCAAATGTGACCATGCATGGCTGAGGTGGTGGTGGAGAATGGATACAGGAAGGAGGATGGGCCATCCTTTGATGGCGTTGGAGGCGATGAACAACAATGGTGGTCGATGTGGACCCAACACTAGGGAATATGGTATTGGACAGTTAGTTGACGCATGAGCAACTTCAGTCCTCTCCAATGGCAGTTGATGAATGCAGGTGGGTTTCAGTAGGCCGTCTGAACGACGACTTCGATGTGGGTTCGTACGAGCGGGAGGAGTCAGAGCAAGAGGAGGAAACGATTGGTGATGAAGTTTGTCGGTGTTTCGAACAAACACCAACTAGTAAATTTATAATTGTTGCGCGTTAGGATCGGATGGTGTACTAAAGGACATAAGGTTTATACTGGTTCGGGCAGAATGTCCCTACGTCCAGTTCGCTGCTGCTCGTGTTATTAGTACCAAAAAAGGTTCGTAGTAGGGGGTACAAACGGTCGAGAGAGGGACAGGTCCCAAGTCTCTGATGGAAAGGTCGAAAGGATGCCAAGAGCACGGTTGTTGCTTGGCTGTATGTTGTGTGTGGAATTGATTCGTCGTCTTTAGTGGGATGCCCTGTCCTCCCCCCCTTTTATAGACCAAGGGGGAGCAGGGATTACAGATGGGAGAAAGAGGAAAAAACCAGAGGGTAGTGAAGGTCCTTCGAAGGAGCCAGGTCTTCCTTTTTCCCTGTGCCTGCCCTGCTAACATGGCAGATCATGTTAGGGATGGCGTGTTCGCTAATCCTCATAGGGCCGTGCCCTAGCCTCATTCAGCAAGTGGGTGCGTCCCATCCTACACCGGCGGACGGTGCGGCGTGCCAGAGAGCCGAGCTGTGACCCTTCGGGGAGTAGACGGGGAAGTGACCATATGTCCGTCACTGTAGATGATATGAGTTCTGTCTTGGACCATAGTGGTTGTCATATGCTTGTGTCAGGATCTGCGTCCGAGGGCTGATGGCGGCGCCTACAACACTGTAGGACAAAAGTCGGCGCCTACAACACTATTCGAGCCCTGTTAGGTCAGAAAGGGCTTAAAGCGCCCATCCCATCGTATCCTGACGATACCTTCCTGCAGGTGTACAGGGTATGGTCCTCGGTACTACGGTTGACTTGAATGTCCTGTTGTACCCTATGCTCGTCATCATGAAGGAGCAGGGTGCAGTCGTCGGGCGAGGCGAAGCCTGCCCTCAGCCATCGAGCCAGGCGGAGCCTGCCCTCAGCCGTCGAGCGAGGCGGAGCCAGCCCTCGGACATCGGGTGGGGCAGAGCCAGCCCTCAGACGTTGGGCAAGGCGGAGCCTGCCCTCAGCCATCGGGTGAGGTGGAGCCCGCCCTTGGACGTCGGGCAGGGCGGAGCTAGCCCTCAGACGTCGGGAGAGGCGGAGCCTGCCCTCGGACGTCGGGCGAGGCGGAGCCTGCCCTTGGACGTCGGGCGAGGTGGAGCCAGCCCTCAGCCGTCGGGCGAGGCAGAGTCTAGTCCTCGGGGGTTGGGCGAGGCAGAACCAATCTTCTGTCGTTCGGACAAGAAGCGTAGTAGCGTTCTTGTCTGACCGGAAGCGTCAACGTTCGATGGTTATTAGTTCCACCTCATTGGGTACCCCGGTATTAGGTCCCCGATAGTAGCCCCCAAGCCCTCGGGTGATTCGGATAGAATCATCCAGGGGGTGATTGGACTTGCCAGAGGGTGCGCGCGAGCGCACCCGACGGGTGTAGCCCCCGGGTGATTCGGGCAGAATCGCCCGAGGGGTATTTTGATTCGCCAGAGGGTGTAGCCCCCGAGCCCCCGGGTGATTTGGATAGAATCATCCGGGGGGTAATTTCGGACCCTTCACAGGTATGGCTGTGAGATTTGGCTTTTGTCAACTGGACAATTTAAGGGGAACTCTGGTATCCCGTTCGCGGGGATTCATCCAAGGTCAGCCCGGTTGGGATTTGTTTGCGGATCGAGACTTCCTTTGAGTTTCGTGCGCCTGAGTTCTGGCCGTTCGCGGGCCCATCCCTCATTGGGAGGACCGCCGAAACTGTTGGGTCGGTCCTCAAACTCCTGGGCCCAGGTGGGCTAAAGAAATGCCTTTTGACCCATATCCCCTCTATGGGAAAAGAGTCCTGGTCTGCTTGGGAAGGTGAAACGCCTAGCGCAATTTTGGTGGGAAAGGATAGGGATCGCGGGCGGATATACTGCGACGTGACGTGGTGGTGTATCGTGGCAGGCTCGGAGACCGAGGTAGGCGGTTGCTCTTCTCACATCCATCGTCCCTTTAAAACCACAGGGTTCACCCCCAGGGTTCCGTACTTCGCCTCCTCGCCTTCGCATCTACAACCTCCGCCGCCAATCGCCTAAGCCTCCCGCACCCGCATCGTTGCCGCTGTCAAGCTCGCATCCGCATTGCAGCCGCCGTCAAGTTCGCACCCACCCCCCTCCCCATCGTTTCAATGGAGCCGTGGTGCAGATCCAACATCACCCCTCAGCGCTTGGAGGGCCTTGTTCGCCATGGACTCCTTTGCCCATTGACCGCCATCGAGGAGTGGCAGCTGCCTGGTGATGAGGACGAGCCATCACCGCTCGAAGGGTATGTCGTGTCCTTCGCTCACTTCCACGAGCGGGGATTCGCCATACCTGCTCACAAGTTCCTTCGGGGGCTGTTGAATTACTACCAGGTGGAGTTGTAGCACCTTTCTCCTAATGGGGTCCAGCACATTGTGGCGTTCGTCACCCTGTGTGAGGGGTTCCT